CGTCAGGCCCAGGAACTTGTGGCTGTCAGCCCTCTCCACCTCAGTCCCTTTGATGGTCAGAGGCAGCAGAGGGAAGGGGTTCTTCCTGAAGTCTATTATTGTATGTAAAGCAGAGTAGGTTTTAGTAGGGATTGTTTTTACATAATTAGTGTGCACATTATCTCACATATTCACAAACTAACATGTATTTGTGACTTGGCAACTGTCTTTACTGTTACAGTATGTATGCTGAATGAATGATGGCTTCACTCTGCTTTGCATGTCACACCTGAGGCTGCTACAAAGACGTACACATGCAGAGAAGCACATAATGCAGTAATAACAGCTGAGGAGCTATTCCAAGTTTGGCCATTTATCCCCATTAGCTCTGGCAACATGTAGTCCCAGTGGATGGTATGACATAATATACAGAGATACTTGATTTAAAATATTTCTCCTTCCTCCTGTCCCTTGTCATCACACCATTTACTTTCCCTCCTGACCCTCTCCCTCCTCTCTCATTTGCCCTTTTTTCTCCTTCATGGCCATTTGTCTTTTGCTTCCATCTTCCCATCATTCTGTATGTTTCTGTCCCTTCCTTTGCTCCTCCCTCCTTTTTTCCTTCTCTCTTCAGGTTCAGCCTGTGGTCTCTCGCAGCAGCCTTGCCACCATTCCATGTGGGGTGAGCAGAGAAGAGGAGACAGGTCGCTCCCACAGCACCAAGAAGGGAGCCTTTCATGAGGTCTTCAACTTGCCGGAGTCAGAGCGCCCTCTGGCCTGTGAGCGGACTTACTGCAGCCTTAAAACACCTGTTTACACTTGCATTGAATGTTCCAGATCTTAGACCACATTTAATATTTAAGTGCACTGGATTTTACCTACAGTTTAAAATTATTAATTCACTCAATCTCTTGGACTTTGTCAAAAAGGCTATACATATGTTTACTTCTCAACCAGGATTTTTATTTATTGTGCAAATAATGTTCTCAGTGTTTAACGTTTATTGTCCTGCATATGTTCTCAGTGTGTGAGAATGGCTGGAGGTGTTGCCTAATAAACAGAGACAGGAAGATGCCCACAGACTACATCAGAAACGGAGTGCTTTACGTCACAGAGAGGTAAGTGGGACATGTTCTCTCATGAGAGCACCTTTTATCATTAAATCTCTGACTGCAGGAGGGATAAAGAAGCACTTGAAGAGGTTTTTTGCCAAGACCTACACCCCTGAGTGCTTTTCATTACCTTAAAATGTCTCCTCATTTCCCTCACTTGCATCATAGTTCTTCCCACATAAGATGTGAGGAAGAGATGCAAAGGAAAAATGTCTATGTCAGTCAGCAGTGGATCAAGTACAACAGGCCTCCGTCTGAGAATATCTTCACCCCATTGGATATCTAACTGACTGCTTGTCCTCTGTTTTGCTACCCTGCCCTTGAGCTTGTTTTCGCCAGGACCCCCTTCAGTCTAAACTGTTGTCTCTCTCTGTGTGTCAGTTACCTGTGCTTTGAGAGCTCCAGCTCCAGATCCAGCTCCTCTAAGAAGAATAAAGTTATCAGGCTGATGGACATCACTGACATACAGAAGGTAGACACTATTAAATAAACTTTTAAATGCCGTGACTTCTGCAAGTGCATTATAGAATATTGTAGATAAAGAAAGACATTGCATCCTTTGACCTAGATTAACCATCTTTCTAAGTGACAGCTGAAGATACAGATTTTTTTCTTTCATTTTTTCATTGCAGTTCAAACAGTTATTCTTATGTTTTTCTAACTCCTTTCCAGTACAAAGTGCTGTCAGTCCTACCAGGAAGTGGGATGGGCATCTCCATAGCCACGCCTTCGACTCAAAAGGTAGGGTATGGAAAGCTTATAGTGCGAGCCTCGTATTGTTTCTACTTATTTAGCTGGGAACAGATAGACTTTTACATCAGTTAGATAAAAGCTTAAAGGCTCATGCAAATGGAGTTAATCGGTTTATCAGTTAAAGTATAAAGTACTTTTATAGCTATAGCATTTGGAACCTACAGTAGATGTTAGTTGTTTTTGTGGCTTTGCCAGCAAGTTTCAAAATAACTTTTCACCATTTCCTTGCTGTTTTTTTTTTTACCGCAATAGGTTTTTCCTACAGATGTAGGCAGTCAAAGTGTCACTCTCTACCTTGATAAGTGGCTACTGTTGTCGCGATTGTTCATCCTTTGTTCCGCAGCATGGCATGTGGCATGTAGACTACAATGTCTGTAGGTGGTGCCCAGTTTAAACTCACATTACAGCACCCTGTGCATACACAAATCATAATCCATATATACCCAGCAGGATATAGTCCAATAATCCAGTAGAGTTTGGGCAGTAAAGAAAAAGCACTTTGGTCAGGGTTTGTTTTAAACCATGATTGTTATTGTGTATGGATTGTGATATGAGTTTACTGTAATATTCTCAAGACTTTTCACTTCAGTTCAGTTACAGTTTGCAGTAAAATCAGCCAACTTTCTCTTCTAAAAATTAGGTTCCTATGCAGCTAAACTGCAAATGCAGATAAGTTTGGCAGGGAGTGTATTTGATTATTGGACTATATCCTGATGCAATGGAATTCTTGAATGAATAAAGCGCTGCCTTTTCCTACAGACAGAGCAGCAGAAACAGGCAGTTTAGGGAGGAAGGTGAAGGTAGAATGCATGTTGCTAATATACCAGTGACTCAAGTATGAATACACTCTGACTTTTGTTTTGATGTTGATTCTGAAACCCCCTTTTATACAGAGATTGCATGGTATTTTGACCCTCCTCCAAAGTGGCTGTTTTGATTTAAGCCATTTTACACCAAACTTTAAAAAGCCAGCAAACTGCACCCCTGCGTACATTTTACACAGCTGCCAGTATCCCGGTACTAGAGACATGATGCTTATCATGATGTCCAATGGTCTGTGTGCTTTGCAGCCAATTTGAAAATGAAACAAACAGACTGTTATCTGGTTTTGTCTAATATATTTGTAAATTGAAATCAGGAATTACAGTAGCCTCATTGGTGCATCCAATGTCATGGATGCACCAATGAGGCTGTATTTGTTCGTGCTTTAGAACTTAACCACAGCGAACAATCACAAAATAAAGCTTTAATTCTCTGATGCACTTTGTTCTAGCTGATGCTGCTTTCTCTCTGCTCTGCTAACTCTGACATCTCTGAAGGCTTTTTATTAACCAAGACGTTATCTTTTTTCATTGTAGTAACATACTTAACATGGTGTTTACTATTTCAGTAACTTATGGTGCCGTCTTAACCATTTTTAATAGGTCATTGATTACATATGTGAAACAGATTATAGGCTAATTTTTTATGTTTACACTTTGGAGCTGGTGAACTGCTGTTGCTACCATACACAATGTGTGATTGACAAGTTCGTACACTTTATCTTTGAGCTTGTAGACAGAACTATAGTGTCAAGGGTGTCTTCCACTGATTTAGTATTGCTTTTCAAGAAAGATGGGGGACATTTTTTTATGTGTGCCATATGAGTATTGACATTTAATAGGATGATTATATTGTGTATAATATATTCTTCACTCTCATATATATATATTCTCTCATCACTCATATATTCCTCAGTCATTTCCACTTTCTGCTTTGTGACTCAGACTCATGTGATTGCTAGCATACTACATAAAGGCTTTGCAAGCAGTTGCAGATATGACATGTTGAGATATAGCTAATTGTTGTCCATTTGCTCCAGCCATTGGTGTTTGGTGCCATGATCCACAGAGACGAGGCTTTCGAAGCCATCTTCACACAGTACATGAAGATCATGACCACCACCAAACCACCGGCCAGCGCAGAGCTTTAGAGAGGCTGCAGCCCAGCAACACGTCTCTACAGCAGGGCTGAAGTCAGAGGCAGAGAGTCTTCTGAGCTCCTACTGGACTGGAAGATAGTTTCAAACACCATAGTCATCTGCTCTGTGAGAACCACCTCCTCTTGTGTTGGATTCCCTGACTAGGCCATGTTGGAGGGAATATGTGTGTGTCAGCTACTTGCATAGTAGGGAGTTACCATAGTTACCTACTGCACTGTTTCTGGGTGTTGGATAATGGACACAATCTACCAACTGGTTCTGTGAGGCATGAAGAGCTGGGGTTTTTATCAATCAAGCCTGGTGAGGGAGCTGGTTCTCTTCTCCCACATGACTGACCAACTTACTGGCTGACTGGTTTTCTGGCTTACTTGTTTCTGTGTTTGCCTTTGTGAATGTATGTGTGTGGCTCTATTCTTCTTTATTACTCAGTCATCTACTGTGGTAGACAGATTTCAAGAAGTGCTCAACCTGGCTCTAAAATGATACAATGAATATCATAACTAGAAGATGAGCAAACATTTTTTAACCGCTAGACACCTGTAGGAACAACTGTGTATATTTAGCTTTATGAAACACTGCAAAAACAACTGTTAATGTTGGAATATTTAGACTTTAAACTGGCTGATTGGTGTCTATTGACTTAGCCCAACAAAATTATAGGTGTGTTCATGTGGCAGTGGTCAGTGGTTTTATTTTATTTTATTTTTATCTGGATTAGCTGTGAAAATGTCATATCACCATTTGACTGTGTTAGGTACAGTGCTGCTGTCTAACTAGTTTCTAGACACACACACACTTCAGCAGTGATGGTATGTTTCAGCCACTGAAAACCTATGCTGCATTCAGCATTCGCTTTGGTCTTTGCCAGTGTGTCTACAGTATGTGTACAGTGTAGTGAACTGTTTTTTTTTTTTTTTCAAAAATGTTGTTGTTTTGAATTTAAATTTCTGCTTTGTTTGTTTGTTTTTGTTTTGTAAGAAACAGCCTTGGGCATGCGTGTAACTGGCGGTCAGTGGAGCTGCTGATTGTGTTCCAAGATGAGAGCACAACACTGCCTGACACTCAGACATGTGGCACAGTGGAGAGTGTAGCTTCCCGTCTCTTTTCAAGGCACAATCTGTACATATATAATGCAGTTTTGTTCTCTCCATCAGTGGTATTCTCCCTGCACTTTATCAGAACGTTAACTGGAATTCTTGACATTTTTACATCGCAGCGAATAGACATCCAGTGCTCACTATAGCTGAAATCAGTGTTCAGTGTTTGCAGGTAGTTTTAGGACTACTAGTTATTTCCTGCGGTATTTCTCCTTTGTCTGACTACTTGAGCCAGCACATGTCACGTTGCAGGTGTAATTGCATCTCAAATGCAGTCTGATGCCAATGAGCCAGACAACCTTCAGACTGACTGTAAAAGAAGAAGGTACTTCAACTTGAAAATGAAGGCACTGGCAGGTTATTTCTACATGATGGCACCTTCACACGTTAATGTGCTGCGGTTTTTCAGCCTTTGAAATATAAATCTAAACCTGATAATCCAAGAACATGTCTTCTTCTGACTGGATATAAAGACTTCCTTAAATGGCAGCTGACCGTGTTGTTTGAGGTTTGATAATCAGTAATACAAATCCTGGATTTGTTGCTGTAAATCCATTTGTTTCCTTATTATCTGAAAACTAGGTTTGTGAGCTCTAAAGACTTGTCTGATTAGTTTTTTTTTTTTGTTATCTGTAATGCCACAGTGAGTGGAGACTGGCATCTGGGGGTTCCTCCACTTGTCCCAGATTATCTAAATGTAAGATTTTTTTTTTAAAGGTTGTCTATGAATTATATAGATAAAGGTCTAGAATGAACAGAATATTTCAGCGTTGCTTTATTTCATAACACCTTTCTCCAGAGTAAAGCTGGTCTCTACTCTTGTAGAATGGCTTACGTAGAAATACAGTATAATGCCAAACAACACTGGATACTGTACCATGTTTTGTGTGTTGAATGGAGATAGGATACAGGATTGGAGGTCATGATTTCCCTTCAGAGGCAGTAGAATAGTAATTCCACACTGCTAATTCCTATTTACTGTTTGCCCAGCAGCACAAGCTATAAAGCTGTAAATCTTACAAACTGCTGTTAAAAGGGAGACCTTGACATGTGAATATTTACTTCTGTTCTGGGAATTTTTCCTCACTTAATACTCTTGTTTCTAGTTTAACGGTCCTCGGTTTAACGAGAGGATTATTTTCTGTGATTCGCGCTGTAAAACTGCCCTCATACTTCAAATGTTTAAGTTTCTCTTCAAATCTATACAAGTCCTCTTGTCATCATTATTAATTAGAACAAACTGAACTGGATATGAAGTTGCTAGATTTGCAATGGACCAGTTCTCCAAAAGCATCATTATTTTTTTTTTTTTTTGTTCAAACTAATGGATATTTTATTTGGGCTTTGGTCTGTTATTAGCAGGCTACCTTCCCAGACATGGATTACTATTTTTGTTTAAGAGTAAATGTGTTGGGTGAATGCGTGAAATATGCTGATATAAGAGCAGGTAAAATCTGTAAAATAATTAATGCTGTCTCACTGTGTGATTGGATGTCTTAAAGCTTTTAGCTGAAGCCTTCTGTAATCTGTTAACTCTGAAATCCAGTTTTTGGGGCTCCTGCAGACCCTAACAAGGCTGCATTCAGACAAAACACAGAAATGCAGTGTTCTTAAATGTCTTGAGGCTTTTTTTTTCTCTTGCCAAATCTTTAATGTTTAATTTTCCCTCTGCCATAATCTGCCTACGCTTATGTGTACTGAAGGTTGTAAAAATTCTTTGTTATTTCTATTTTTTTAACCACCCAGTTTGAATTCCTGTGACTATGGAGTTATGAAAACTGGACTGCTCCACTGTTCTTGAATTTATGTCTCAGCTCTCATTGGCTCTCACTCACATGACTGTCTCTGCTCACCGTTAATCAATAGGAAATCATAGTGACAACAAGAACAGTATTTTAAACCCCATAAAAGTATGTAAATTGTCATATCCAACATAGTACTTGGTTACATTGTAGTGTAAGTTGCAGTTAAACACCAGATTCACAGGTGTCATACAGAGCAGAGATGGCAATGGTGGACTGAAAAGGCAATGTCAGTGTTTTTGACATTTAGTCCATGTAACTTGACGCACCTTTTGGGGATTGTACAGAAAGGCAGAAATAGAGCCAAAGTGGATAAAAATGTCTGCACTTATAGTACTATACCTTTCTGTACTATAGGAAGTGTTCAGCAAAGGGCTTGAAGAAATAGTTTGAAATTTTAGGAAATATGCTTTTTTATATACAGACAGGTGACCAAGGAAAAATCCGTATAAGTGAGTTGTTCTTCAGGGTGACAGTCATTGTCCATCCCTCCAGTAGAGTTTCAGAGAATCAATGCCAAGGCACATTCAAGCTGTTCTGGTAGCAAGTGGTGGCCTAACACCTTAGGACACTGTTGGTTTTTCCTTTCATCATTTGCTTGCTGAGAACCAGATGAGAAGACTGATATCACTTTCATGTCTGTGCACTAAATATGTAGCTAATGCAAGCAGTCTGTCAGCTTAGCATAATTTTATTACATTTGAATAGAAGCAGGTTAAGCTAAGTTAACCAGCTGCTAGCTGTGGTTCGGTTCTTACCATAGTTGGAAATAATAAGTTACTTCACCATTTCAGATCTTTGCAGTTCAAACATTAACAGACAATATATAGTTTTTTCTAAGGTAATTGTGCGTGTCACTGTTTAATGCACTTTAGTAGGCACAGTTTTATTTTAACAACTGTTACTTTGTGAGCGTCCCTTCATGATTTACCAGCATCACTATAACTTGGTTTCATCTGCCCATATTGCTCTTAAAATTTCTCCCCCAAATGTATCTTTCAAAGTTTTTAGCTGTGACATCAGTGTTGTCAGTTTTCTCATGTAACTCTCTATAAGAAAGTGAATAAGCCTCATTCTCTGATGTTAAAATATTCCTTTGTTATGAATGGTAAGATGTGCATAATGACTGCCATACTGTCTTGCTGTGGTCCAAGGGTGCGGATTAGGATGAGGATTTAACTGATGTCATAATAACATGGGCGTTGTCAAAAATGGTGATGTCTTCTCATGGTCCCCTCCATGGAAGTAGTTGTATTAAATATATAGTTCTTCTAACCATGTACAACTGTTAATTAAGAACTTTCCGGAAGGATTTCAGGATTCCTAAGTGATCTACACTGATATACAGTATAGTACAGTACTAACTGTATAAGGACTTCTGTCTCACTATGAAGAAAGTACAGATTAACTAAGATGCTTACAGCCTTAATCTGACATAATGACTGAAGGTGAATTAAAAGGGTTAATTAAATTACAAAAATTACCAAAAAATGTCAGTCCTATTTTATGGAGTGAGACAGAACTCCCATTTAATACAGTCAGTGAAATGCAAATTAAGTGTTACTGGGAAACACTGCTGTCATTAAAAGAAGTGATTTATTATCTGTGACAGTTGCAATGGTGACTTTTTTTTTGTCAGAGTAATCTGTATACAAATTATTAAAATGTACAGTGAAGAAAACAAACCACAGAGTTTTTAAAAGACATCTGTTGTAAAAGATCATGTGATGTACATCTTTTAATTTAAGTAAAGGTATCTTGTTCATGTGGCTTTTGTTATCACTATTCCACTACAACTTTCACTCACTGCAGTACCTGCTTAAAGCCACAAGAAGTCAGTCTGAGACCTTGTGTTCAGGCTAGTCAGCTGGGAGAGTTCTCTCAATAAGCTTCCCTTCTCCACAGGGAGGTCAAAGGTCATCTGCCTGGCCTGCTCACACATTTCAGTACTTTATTCTTGATGGAGTTAGGAACTGACATTTTATGTGTTCCTACCCAGTCTCACTCTATTTCTGTGACTGGATGGCCGAGACATCAGTGAAGGGGTGGGTGAAGCTAGGGCTGTACTTTGTCATGCTTTTGTGAGCTCAAGTCTATTTCCTGTACATGGACATGGGGAGGCCTGAGAAATATTGGGTATATCCACATAAAATGTGAAGTGAACGAGTTTAAATTAAAATGCAAAAATAAAGTTGTTTAAAAATTCTGCATTGAATACAGATCACATTTTACACATAGAAAAGTGTGAACTCAAAGAATGACAGTCCAGGAGGTCATTTGAAACTGAAAGCTTAAATCTAATGCTCAAGTCTTTTCACCTTTGCTGTCTCCCATTCTCATTTTAAGTTTCCTAATTGCTGTTTCTTTTGTTTAGTATTTTCATTTTTAAATTGCATTTGTGTGTCACCAGTCAATGCTGTCGTCCAGCGCTGTGGGAGATGCTCTGTACCTTCTGTTTTACATTTTGACTGAGGTGTGATTATTTCACAGGATAGGTTCTGGATTTTTCAAGTTAGTCTTAAAACAGTATTGACATACTATTGACGTACACATGATCAAAATCTATGAACATTACAATCTTAAACATGAAGGCATAGTCATTGAAACAAGTGTGACAGAAAATATATTCTCCAGGATAAAGAAAGAAAGGTTAACTTTGGATTAAACATGTATCATAAGCAATCCATTAATCACAATAGACAAAATCACAAGCACTTATTTACTTAAACTGTAATGCTTAGCAATACTTTGAGAAGTTTTAAACCTTTCTAGCTTAATGAAAATTTATAGTTCTTTAAAGCTGTTGTACAAAAGGTGTGGTATACAACTTTAATCACAGGGTGTCGCAAGTGGTACATCAGGCATGTTCAGGCATGAGGTCTTTCCTCTCTATAATGCATCAGAATCAGGCAGATTTAAGCCACACATAATAGTAGTATTTCTTGTAAACCTACTGAACAAGTTACACACATTGATTCACATTATTTATATTTTCAAGTCCAATATACCATTTTCACTGATAGAAGAGAATGCAGATTAGAGCAGTCTTTGGTGCAATGACTGAGTTAAGCATGTACAAAAGGCAGAGTTACATCAGCTTTACCAAAACATCTCTAAACTTCTTTTAAACATTGCACACAACTTTTAACAAGAGACAGCATTTCTCCCTGTGCCTGTGTGGGTTCTCTCCAAGTACTCTGGCTTCCTCTCACAGTCCAAAGACATGCAGCTTAGGTTGATTGGTGACTCTGTATTGCCCGTAGTAGTGGGTGTGGTTGTCCGTCTCTAAATGTCAGCCCTGTGATAGACTGGCGACCTGTACAGGGTGTACCACACCTCTTGCGCAGTGTCAGCTGGGATTGGCTCCAGCTCCCCATTAGTGTCATTTATTCCAACATACCTCCCAGGTGAATATGATAACCAAGAGAGATGGTGATAGTGATTATGCATGATTATGCAGATGGATCCTGAAATGAAACACCTCCAATTCCAACATTTCCTGTACTTGAATTGATTCGCATGATAAATGATTGCTATTTAAACTCAGTAATTTTAGATAAATGTTTTATTATTGTTTTATTATCAAAAGGGGATACAGCAGAAAGTAACTACGCTATCACCAGGACAGTGTAAAGAATACCTGGTTGATAGGAACTACAGCATTTCTCCTTCCCCCTGTCATAGTGATAGATGAACTACAGCTCTGTAAATGCATACATGCAGGCACCATTTGTTTTTTAATAAAAGCACAAACCCTTATAGATACATCTTATAGCTCCTGTTCTTCTTCAGTCTCTCGGGAACCATGTCTTTTCCCTTGCCATTTGTTGTAAAAAGTATCGGTATCGGTATCAGCGATACTAGCCTGGGTTTTACTTAGTATCAGATCAGAAAGGAAATAAGCGGTATCACACATCACTAATTTATATGAGTAAAAGGACAGTTCTGAATTTAAATGCTGCTACTAGACAATATTCCTCCACCACAGCTTGGCAAGGACCTATTCTAGGAAACAAAACTGGGAAATTTGTCTTTCATTAACTGTAACTTTGAAAGATATTGACTCGAATTAGCTTAGTGGGACAGCTGAAGCTTCATTTGAACCCCATAAAAATTTAAGATGCATGACACTGTTACAAAGTTCTTTTACTGGACAGATCTGAGTAAGGAAGGAGTCAGTCTTTCTTGATTATAGTGCTGGAGCCTAATACATTTATCAGTTTTGGGCTAACCCCTTATACAGATGAAGTCCATCCCACAGACTCCATCTCTTATCTAGAGCTCCACAGGCTTGGAGCAGCTGGACATAACAAAATGAAGAATTCCATGTGTGTGTATGTTGTATGCGTGATGTGTTACTAAAACATCCATTCAGACATAATTCTTACACAAGATTAAAACAAAACAATTGGTGTCATGGCTTACTGCTAACCTTGAAGCAGAGCAGACTAAAGCAGACTTTGAATCTTACTAAACTACATTACTAACACATTAAAGTCTAATAATGATCTGACTGATTTATTAATTTCTAACAACACTAAGGGCTTTTTTACTTTGCTACTCTTTTTTTTTTTCTTTCTAACAGTGTAGTCACGTTCGAGGTGGAAAGCTTCAGGGCCAGAGTGTAAAATAGGAAAAGTAACAACGTTCATTGACACATACATATAAACATGTCAAAACTGTTTTAAGACCAACCTGAAATATCTCAAACCGATTCTTTATTTAAAATTGCAGATACTAAAGAATTAATTTCTATCCATATGATATAGTACATTTTTGACTGGATGAATACAGTGTACTAAAATCTAAAATGACTGACGTTATAGTATATCATTTATCATGATACATAAGCTAGATTTCATTCCAGTCCATGGTTTCATCAAAGTAACAAACATAATTTTTGCTCATACACAAGCCCATGTGTTCCTGACCACAAAGCAATGTTTTCCTCCCATGGCTTGACATGTGAATGTGAATGTATTCCTTCTGTATGGCACCAGGCACTTTTTCTGTCAGTTCATAAGTGTTGTGTTTCTAAAGAGAGCAAAAGGAAGACTGTCATGATACAAGATTTCATGTAGTTGAAGGCAGTTTGTCTGTAAGTGACACCTCCGAGGCGTCTGTCTCTCCTGCTGCTTTACTTTTATAGATTTGGTATATTTTTAGTCCGTTCTAAAGAGAAATCGCCAAATGTTCCACCTTTTACCATTTGTACACCGTGACAAAATGGTGACATAGCTTGACAGCCCTGCTCTGTCTCCTTGTCCATCTTGTGATACTATATATGTGTACATTTACAGTCTCAAGGACACAACATTACAAACACTAGCCATTTCTACTTAGCCTTGTCCTTCTAAATCCAGTATTATTTCTAAGTTTATAAACAGTATGAAGTGCTCTAGAAAGTAGCTGAGGATAACTTGTGAGACACCTGATAAAAATAAACAGCCTTTGCTTATTATCCAGTTAGCAACAAACATAGCTAGCTACCTGTGAAATCATTTATGTCCAAGCTAGACCCACAAAATCAGCAGTATATTACCAAGCTAACACACTTGCTGTTCCAGTTTACAGTGTGACTGAACTCAGCCTAATTAGACTGTGTGTGAAGTGGCCTAGCTGTGGTGGATTGAGGTGACCTCTCTGTCTCTGTGTGTGGTAGTGGGTGTGTGTGCTGTAGTGGAGAGGACAGACAGGCTGTCCAGCCATCAGTCATTAGTTAAATGTTGAAATGATGCTTCCCCTAAAGGACTGCAGGTCATTCAGGCCATAGATCTCCTCTCTAGCAGCTGTCAACAGCCAGCGTAATGACTCTCTTAGCATGATGCATCTGTTTGTCTTACCAAAGCACTCATCACAGATGTTAATTGGAATCACTAGAAATGACACACACACAGACAAGTTATTGCTGCGCATATCTGTAATACAAATCTAGTATAAATGAATAAGGTGATTCACAGGAGCATCATAAAACAAAAAACATGCAGCAGTATCAATATAGAGTTCTTATTTTTCTGTCTCACACACTACTAGATATCAGCTGTTAAATCTGATCTGGGTCAGAACACAAATCAACGTTTAGTGAGCGCACAGCTCAGTAATGCTTCCCTAATTGGATTCTCACCTAAAACAACCTCGTCGGAGCAGCAGCAACAAAACTTTGTCTTTATGGATGATAGGACTTTTATGCAGATCCAGTGTCAGCTTTACCCTCCCAATGAACCTTTTGCTAGCTCCACAATGAAGAATACAAAGCTGAATCAGGACGTATACCCAAACTGAGAGGAAGCAGCTATTTCTATCTACAGGGCCACATTGTCAGCTAATTCACAAAGCACACCACAGACTATGTTTACACCAGCAAAATGAGGGCCTTCCAGAGATCACGAGCCATAGGAAAACTATTAAAGCCTTTGACTGATGATAATACTTATGGAGGCATTGTCCATAACTATAGGTAATTAGATGTTAGTCAGCCTCTCGATTTCTCAGGCACAGGGCCATAGCCAGAAATTTAGAAATAATGAGGTCATGAGTTAAAGAACTCTACCAAGCCACTGTTGCTACCTGTGTAAAGCTCTCCATTGTTCAACAGCACACAAGCAGTTTAAAATGATAACAGTGGCAGATTTATTCATTCATATTCTTAGTATTTTTGAAACAATGACTCTCAGACATTTCGTTTAAAAATCTACTGCTGCTTGAATAAGCATAAGCATAAACTTTATTGCCAAATATTATCAGAAATATAAGGAATTTGACTCCAG